TCAGTTTTTGCCACCCTCACTCTCCCCCATTTCCTGCAATCTGACTTTTGCTAACACCTCTCTACCCAAACTAGTTCCTTAGTTTAAATTAGGTGGTAATTGTCAAATTCTAGGCTTACGGAGATGGTTGGCTCTTCTCTTAGTCTGGAAACATATTCCTATCTTGGCTTCTAACAGCACATTTCTTGGGTTTTATTTTTTATATTTATTTTTTTTCATCCAGAGCTCTTGCTTCCTTGAGCCATGACTGGATTCACTATAACAAATGTTATAATAGCTCCATAACAAAGTCTTGAAGGAGTAGAAAAGGGAAAGGATTAGTTGTTTCCACACTGAGAATATCAATTAAAAAAGCTTTCACACATAAAAAAATGGATACAAGGCATTTTATAAGCTTATGGAACACAGTTGCTTTATTTAAGTTTATATTTCCTCTTGACTTACTCTTTAAAGTTATTTTTTATTAGATAATATATTCACAAAATCCAAAAGGTATAAGAAAGTATCCATTAATTAATTAATTCCATAAATATTTGTTAACTACCATGCACTGAAGAATAAAGCCATAGGGCAAGGGGATAAAGGAGGAGGGAAAACAGGACTATTGTTAATAGAATGGTAAGGAAATCATTTCTCATAAGGTGATATTATAACAAAGACCTGAAGGAAGCAAGCCATTGGTTATCTAAAGAAAAAGCTTTCTAGGCAGAAGACCGTGCTGTGTTGGAGGCCAGTATGTCTAGAGAATAAGTAAGAAGGAATGGTAGGAGATGAGATTGGAGAGATGGCTGGGGGCCAAATCATCTCGGTTTTGTAGGCTATGGTAATGATTTCTGATTTTTTTCTTTTTTCTAAGTATTTGGAGATTGTGATGTTAAGTCGGAGAGAGCCCAGGATCGGATACATGCAGCCGTCTGATGAGATAATGGACCCCACGCTCCTGGAATTTCTAACAGATCAACGTGCCAGACACAGATAGCAGCTTCTCCCTAAAATCCACACGACCCCCACACAGATACTGACTCCTTCCTGAATACCCTGCTGACCCCCTGTGGCAGGGACTTCCTCAGTTCATGTCCCCGCCCCTTACCCAACCGCAGTATAAAACAAAGCCACCCCCTCCCTGTGGGCTCAAATCCACTGGCCCTGTATTTGGGGTCTGTGGGTCGCCCGGGGACGCAGAATAAACCTTTCCTTTTCTTTAACTCGGCTCTCTTTATTTCCTCCGCCTCCTGAGCCACCTAACATGTATAACAAAGAATTTGACCGGCCCTTGTCCTTGATATGTGGGAGGCTTTTAAACCCTAGGAAGACAGGATGTCTCTGTTATTCACTTGGGTCCAAAGACCACACCTGAGTTTATGTTAAAATGACTCATGATGTAGGCTTGTTCTGCTAGAAAAACCAACCATCTGATTAGAGGATTGAGCCTTTTGAGTAGTGAAATTAATTAGCCAGACCTCAGGGGATAGGTGGGAGCCAGAAATTGAGTTCAACTATGTGACTAATGATTCAACCAATCACGCTTAAGCAGTAAAAACCCAATAAAAACTCTGAACACTAAGGCCTGGGAGAGTTTCCTGGGTGACCCATCCTGAGTCCATGGGAAGAAGATATGGAGGCTCTGCATTCAGGACCCTTCCAGACATTGCCCTGTGTGTCCCTTAATTGGGTGGTCCTGATTTGTAATCTTTATAATAAAACTGTAATCATAGGTACATGAATGGTTCAAGAGAGCTACTGAACCTGAGTCATGGAACTCCCCTAAATCTGTAACCAGTTGGTCAGAAGTGTGGGTAACTTGGGGATCTCCCAAACTTGTGGCTGGTGAGGGCAGTTTGGTTGGAGACCACACCCATAATTTGCGATGTCCTGGCTTAACTCTGATGGTTTGCATCAGAAACGAATTGTGGTACTGCTGACGTGAATCTGTGAGAGGTGACATGATTTCTACACCGTGAAAACAGATTGAAGAGGCACAGGAACAGACACCGGGAAATGGTGGTGGCTTAGATTAAGGTGGTAGTGATGGATATGCTTAGAAATGATTTTATTCATTGTAACTGCAGACCCTACTAGATTTGCTAGAGGGCTGGAAGTAAGATTTTGTAGTGGCTGCATTCTGCTGCTAGGGTATATCATACCTGATTTATCTGACCCCCTACTGACACTTAGGTTGTTTTCATTTCCTCCCTCTTATAGACAATGCGGCAATGAAGATGTTTACACCTAACTATTATACTCTTAGTTAAGAATCTCTAGCTAGCTCTAACCAGTTTGGCTCAGTGTATAGAGCGTCGGCCTGTGGACTCAAGGGTCCTAGGTTCGATTCCGGCCAACGGCATGTACCTTGGTTGCGGGCACATCCCCAGTAGGGAGTGTGCAGGAGGCAGCTGATCAATGTTTCTTTCTCAATTGATGTTTCTAACTCTCTCTCCCTCTCTCTTCCTCTCTGTAAAAAAAATCAATAAAATATATTTTTTTAAAAAAAGAATCTCTAGCTACATTATTCCCTGACAATAAATTTTGAACAAAACAGAATTGAGGTGCCCTAATTTTGTGAACAGTCTATTTCTGCTTCTAAGTTCAAGTATTTCTTATTCATTTTCTACTTAAAAGTTTCGTTTTCCCTGACCATAGAAACGTAGAAAGTTGAAATTAAAAGTTGAAAAGATTCTTAGAGGTGCCCTAGTGCAGTGGTTCTCCATGTGGATGATATGGTAAATAATCAGAATCTACAAGGGAATATTTTTAAACGACAGACCCCCTCTCTTTCTGATGTGCTCTGGGAACATGGGAAAAGCTGGCATTAATGTCCAGCTGGCATATACCCTAACTGACCATGACTCTACCACCTCGAATGGCTTATCTAGTACAATCCTTTTGTTTCCCAGATGAGGAAACAAACACATTATCAGGGAGTGACAGAAGAACTCAGTCCCTAATCTGTTTTTAATACTGTCAGCAATGTCTGAGCATATCAATTTCTTCCACCCTTCACAATAGAAGGTATGACTTTAACATTTTTTATTTCTTATAATTCATTAGACAAAAGAACTATCTCACTATTGTTTACAGAATGATTTATTAAAGAGATTTGTCTGACCTATCTTAGAAGATGACAACTGGAATTTGTTGTCACAAGGAAAACACAGGCTGGTTTAATAACAAACTCTAAGCTCTCTTTAACTAACCCTTTGCGGTCGTATTAAATTTGGACATGGGTGTCGTACTGGTCGGAATTAACTTCTATTGAAAGAGCGGTGATACATAACATATAAGATTATGAAGGATAAACAAGATTTATTAATTCTTTTTTGGAACTACATCACTACTAGTAGAATCACTACAAACGTTATCACTTTCTACGTCAGAGTCAGTATTCAAGGTGCCAAAATAAAACTCTTCATCGTTACTTTCAGATTCGTAGTACACTTCTTTCAGTAACTTTCTTTTTGCCATTTTGGAGTATTACTTGAAATATCTTAACAAGCGAGAATGCCTAATTACAGTTAAACGTAATTTGTAAAGCTTTATTTGAAATTCTGCGAAGTATCTCCGAAGCTTGTCGATTTCTTCACTCTCAAAAGGCGACTGACTCGCCACGGTGTTTTGTATGGTGAATGTAAAACGACCGCATTTGTTTATATTGTTTCGATATCTCCGATTTGTCGGAGCAATGTTTTGGTTCGTGACAAGGTCGCTTAGACACTTACGAGCTTTCAGAGAAATTATGAACTGATACATGAATGAATAAAGATTCGTACGGTTCCTTGCTGTGGTGGCTGAGAGCAGACATACGACTGGAACGGTAAAAACATAAAAAACCTTTGGTGGCTGAGAGTAGACAAATGACCGCAAAGGGCTAATTTCACTCAAACTGCACCATTAGAACCATTAAGCTACAAATAGAACACACAAAACTGGTATAGAGTCTTAAGAGGCTGTTCTAGGACTTCTCACATACTATCTTATTTAATCTTCACATTATCAAAAGAGGAAAGGATTACTATGAGGCACAGAAAAGTTAAGAAACTTGCCCTAACTGGTTTGGCTCAGTGGTTAGAGCACTGGCCTAAGGACTGAAGGGTCCCAGGTTCGATTCTGGTCAGGGGTGTGTACCTTGGTTGTGGGCACACCCTCAGTAGGAGGTGTGCAGGAGGCAGCTGACTGATGTTTCTCTCTCATTGATGTTTCTAACTCTCTATCCCTCTCCCTTCATCTCTGTAAAAAATCAATAAAATATATTAAAAAAAGAAAAAAGAAAAGTTAAGTAACTTGCTCAATGAAACAGAGTGAGGAGTCTCGGAGGGAAGGCAGGGAAAGAAGGATGGGGAGGACCATAGAAAAACCACAGAAACTTTCTACATTTCTATGGTCAGGGAAAACGAAACTTTTAAGTAGAAAATGAATAAGAAATTGAACTTAGAAGCAAAAATAGGTCTGTTCACAAAATTAGACTCGATGTATGTCATTCTGTGGATACATCACCATCTCCCATTTATTTATATATATAAAAAAGTGCCATCATTTCGACGTATGTACATATGTGCTTTGTTTTTTATTTATTTACAAGTAAAGGTCAGGAATTATCTTTCTTTTAAATTTTTTTTTACTGTTTCACTTCATTACTGCTGTGTATGTACTCCATGTGTGTGACATAGGTGCTTATGTAGGTGGATTCCAACTTACGGCAAAAAGTACGTTGCGCCGTAGGAATGGATCTCCGATGTAACCCGAGGGCCTACTATAATCTGGTCTTAACATTCTCTTTCTGCTTCTCCTCTTGACAATTCTATTCATGACTTCCAGGAAGCATTTTCCATAATCTACCTCAATCTAGCTTCCTAACTGACCATTCCTATAATCCTATATAATAAAAGCCTAATATACAAATCAACCAAACGGCAGAATGACCAGTCGCTATGACACACACTGACCACCAGGGGGCAGACACTCAATGCAGGAGCTGTCCCTGGCGGTCAGTGTGCTCCCATAAGGGGAGTGCCACTCAGACAGAAGCCAGGCTCACGGCTGGCGAGTGCAGTGGCAGTGGTGGGTACCTCTCCTGCCTCCGCTGCAGGCGGGCGGTAAGAAGCAAGGGGTCCCAGACGACCAGAGCCCTGGACTGAGAGAGGGATGTCTGCCTGCCGGCTTAGGCCCAGGGGACGCTCCTGCATTGAGCATCTTCCCCCTGGTGGTCAGTGTGTGTCATAGTAGCTGGTCGTTCCGCTGTTTGGTTAATTTCCATATTAGCTTTTTGTTATATAGGATTCCTGTACCTGCCAAATTACATTATATGGTTACTGGAGGCCTGATGCATGAATTCATGCACGGGTGGGGTCCAGCCAGCCTGCCCCAATTGGGGCTGAATGGGCTGGGCAGGCCAGGGGGAGGGGCTACGGGAGGTTGGCTGGCTGGTTCCACCCCCGATCGGGCTGGTTGGCTGGCCACAGTGCACGTCATAGTGACTGGTTGTTCTGGTCGCTTGGCTTTTATATATATAGATGTCTCTGTCCTTGACTAACCTACAAATTCCTGAAAGGCAGGAAGTGTCTTTGAATCTCTTAACACTTAAACAGTTATCTGACACATGGCAGAAACTCAGTAATTGTTGAATAAATGCACACATCCTGTGCTCCTATCTCACAGAACTTACTTTTTTAAATATTACCTCTTTTTGAAGGCTACTTTCTGTACCCAAAACAGTGTTTGTGCTTTTCTGACTGGCCAAACTCCTAGTCATTTTTGAAGACCCAGTTCAAATAGACAGAGGGGAAAAGGAAGACAATGAACTAAAAATATCATTTTTTAATTCTCTGACACCTCCTTCCTGCCTGAAAGAATTTTTTCTTCTTCTGGCCCCACAGCATTTTTCTTGCTGAGCTCTATTATAATTATTCCTGGTCATATTGAGTTCCTGCCACAGATGATGTATTCCAGAATACAGGGACAGTGGCCTACATATCTTTGTATCGCCAATGCTCAGCAATATGCCTGGTACATGACTGGCCCATAAGAAATATTTGTGGAATGAAGAAATGTTGAAAGAACATTAAGGTAAACATTAGTTCTCATGAAGAACAACTGACCTACCATAAAACAGCTGCTAGAATTGATTTTGTCTAGAAGAGCAGAAGTAAAGAGCTTTCAATGTTACTTTTTGCCAGGATACCAGTCTTCACAGGAACTCATTTTAAGTAGAAAAAAGGGCTGAAGGTGAATGAAAATGGGTTATCTGATGATTACTGATTTGCTAATCTAAGCTATGATTAGCAAATCTTTCAAATGGATTTCAATCCTATATAAAAGCCTAATATGTAAATGACCAAACAGCAAAACAACTGGTTGCTATGACACACACTGACCACCAGGGAGCAGATGCTCAACACAGGAGCTGCCTCCTGGTGGTCAGTAGGCTCCCACAAGGGGGAGCGCTGCTCAGCCAGAAGCTGGGCTCAGCCTCTCCCACTTCTGCTGCAGGCAGGCAGTAAGGAGCAAGGGGTCCCAGACTGCGAGAGGGATGGGGGAATCTGGGTGAGGGGATCGGGCCTAAGCCGGCAGGCGACATCCCCCAAGGCGTCCAGGACTGAGACAGGGAGCAGGCTAGGCTAAGGGACACCCACCCCCAAGTGCACGAATATTGTGCACCAGGCCTCTAGTTTAATATAATTGTCAAAGCATCTGCCCAAATGTTCCAGAGGGAAGAATATAATTTTGCTGCTTTTGCGTGGAAATGAGGGAAAAATAAACAGGCCAGTTACTTTCATTGCATTGTTATAAAATAGTTCCTTTAAAGATCTGTGATGACTTGAGCTGAATGCTAACACTTTATTGTGATTGATAAAACCTACCTTAGAAACTCTTTGCTCTGTTCCCATAGATCTTGGGTATCTTCTTTAGTCATGTGTTTGTCCAGGTTACATACATTAGGTTTCTGGGAATATAACTTAAGGCACTGCTTCACCCAGTGCCACTGGTAACCTGGGAGGAAGGGGTTTGGGATGAAAATAAAACCTATATAAAAGATGGGTGGGAAAGAAAGAAGAGGAGGAAATTCTCCATCAGTTATTCAGACAGTTTACTTCTGTTGACTTCCTTATACCCTCTACTTTATATTTACTTTCCATCTTCTTTTGCTCATGCTTCTAGTGGCTTCCATTCTTACAAACAAATGTTCTCATTCCTATTCTCCAATTTTAGAAGAAGAGAAATTCCTTCAAGTTAGTAAAAAGTAAGTTTGATGATCACTAGCCATCTACCATTATGCAAATACCGTGGCCTTTTGGGTTACTCTCAAGGGAAACAAACATTCCACAATTATCATTTGTGTTATCCCAAAGCAAACTTTAGAATTGAAACCGCCAAAGTCACCCTTCAAATTTTCACCCAGTGTCACCATGTACAGAGGTGGTGGCTGCTTCTGCAGTTAATACCTTTGATATTTCAGTGTGCCCCTTTTGCCCTTTCCATTTTCTAGCTAATGAGTCTATAAATTATCACGGTTAAAATAATTGGTGTGATTTCTGCCTCCTGACTAATATAGCAGGGAAGGAATATGGTATGTACATCTGCTCAGTATGGCATGATGCAAATACCTACAGCATGTATGCTGAGAAGATCCTTATAACTTTGAAAGTAATTTCACCTCACTTTTCTCCCTTTGTAAAAGAGCAATAATAACATTTAACTAGAATCCTATGCATGGCAAGGATTAATCCATCAAGGATTCAACAGACACACACTGTGCACTTTCTTAGGAACCAGAGATAAAGAGATGAAAAATTTTATCCTTCATGAAATACCTGGAGATAGGACAATAGATAGTAATACAGATAATGTCTTATATATTTTTTAATTTTAATTGAATTTATTGGAGTGACATTGGTTAATAAAATTATGTAGAGTTCAGGTGTACAATTCTGCAATACATAATCTATACAGTGGGGCCTTGACTTACGAGTGTCCTAACGAGTTCTTTGAGATACCAGCTGTCTCTTGGCTGATTTTTTTGCATTGCGTTGACAGAGTAATTTGAGTTAACGAACTCCTTAACGAGCTTGGTATCGGAACGAATTAAACTCATAAGTCAAGGCCCCACTGTATATTGTATTGTGTTCACTACCCCAAGTCAAGTCTCCTTCCATTACCATCTTTCCCCGATTTCCCCTCTTTTACCTCTCCCCAACCCCCCTTTCCCTCTGGTAATCACCAAACTGTTGTCTGTGTCTATGAATATTTTTGTTTTGTTTTGCTTAATCCCTTCCCCTTTTTCACTGAGCCCCTCAACCCCCCTCCCCTCTGACGAGATATCTTTTAAAAGCCTGGTTGAGAAAAGAAACAAAGGCAGAGGAGTAGTCAAAGAATAAAGAAATAAGGGGAGAGTTTATGGATTTTCGGGTTTAAAAAGACTGAAGCATGCTTATAGATTGTGAGGAAAGAGCCAGTTGAAGAGAACTGGCTAAAAGTGAAAGTGTGGAAAGGAACAGAGCAAGGTCTTGAAAGCCAGAGGAGGTGAAAGAAAGTGGGGTCAGAGGTGAAGGGACTGGCTGAGTTGAAGGAACTCTTCTTTCTCTAAAGTTGGAGGACAGGAATGAGAATACTTGCTTGTAAATGTGGAGGTCACTTTTGCATTTCATGTACCAGTAAAATTATCCAAATAATTTAGGAGAGTGACAAGACTGTCTTTATTTTGAAAGAAAAAAGATATGAAACCCCCAATAATCTACCATGCTATCACCATGTAAAAAGAAAAATTACAGCACACCCCGCCCCCAAATATGCGATTAAAGGAAGAATACCCTGACCTAGTCCAAGCCTGAATAGTGATAGGAAATTTAATACCTTTTCAGGCAGTCTATTTCAGACAACTATTGTCATCCTTTCACTGAGTTAAAATTTGCCTCTTTCAAATGTTCATGAATTGGCCTTAGGTTCTGACACACAGAGCAAACCCACATTAGCTTTTACTTCTTCTTCTTCTTTTTTTTTTTTTTTAAATATATTTCATTGAGTTTTTACAGAGAGGAAAGGAGAGAGATTAGAGAGTTAGAAACATCGATGAGAGAGAAACATCGACCAGCTGCCTCCTGCACACTCCCCACTGGGGATGTGCCCGCAACCAAGGTACATGCCCTTGACCGGAATCGAACCTGGGACCTTTCAGTCCGCAGGCCGACGCTCTATCCACTGAGCCAAACCGGTTTCGGCAGCTTTTACTTCTTCTTGATTAATACTTCAAGCTTTACAGCTAACATTTAATGACTATTTACTATGTGCCAGGCATTGACCTAAGCACTTTACTAGGATACTCTTATTTAATCCTCACTATAAAGTGGGTACTACTTAAGAAACTTGCCCAAGGTCATATAATAGTAGATAGAAGAGCCAGGACATGAACCCAGGTAGTATGGTGTCAGAACCTAGGCCTTAACCACTAGTATGCACTACTTCCCATCCCTTCTTGTGCACAACTTTTCAAATGTTCGACACTGTCATGTTCCCCTTCAAGTCTACTCTTCCTCAGATTCAGTTTCTAGTCTTCAGAACCATGATCTTCCTGCTTACTCTCAGAAGGACAAGATGTGGTGTGCCCAGGCTCCTTCAGAATTAATAGAATCCACAAGTAAACACAATCCTTCCAATCAAGTCAGAGTAAGAAGAAACTGTCATCCCCCATGTTTTGGACATTATTATAATTCTATTAAATGCAGCTTATAATGGCTAGGAAATCAGAATAAAGACTGTAGGGACACATTTAGGTACCAACTTAAATGATGTCGCTTAAGTGTAAAATCCTAGAAAACCAAGGACACCAATTTGGAGAAAAGAAAACCAAAGAAGGGTTAACAATCTTGTAGCCTGAACAATTGGTTAAGGGAAGAAGGCACAATTACAGAAACATGGCCTTGAAAAGAGGAGCTAGGTCTGAAAGGTAAAGGGCAACCTTCAAGAACAAAGTGATTAAAAGATTGATGGTGATGCATGCTCCTTTACCTAAACTCATGGGGAGCAATGCTTTCATATGTAAAGGCCAATTGATTGTTTCCTCTGTGACTTCAGTCATAAGATCATCTTTAGTTCTTTAATACAGAACTAAAGTTCATGAGGCCTTATATAGGATGTATTAAAGCTGTTACACTTTCCAGCTCTGGACAGTGTGGTTCAGTTGGTTAGAGCACTGACCTGTACACTGAAATGTGGTGGGTTTAATTCCCGGTCAGGGCACATACCTAGGTTGTGGGTTCGGCTCCTGGATGGGGCATGTGAGGGAGGCAACCAATCAATGTTCCTCTTTCACATAGATGTCTTTCTCTCTCTCAAAATCAAGACATAAAAAAACCCCACCCAAACAATTTTTTAAAAAGATGTTACACCTTCCCACGTTATTAACAAATACTTTAGTGGTCATGCTATATTAAGAGCTATAATATAGACCCGGCCCTTAGCACAAAAATTAATATTTCTTTTTAGGGGTATCACTTGCTTTTAATCCATACTTGAAATCACAAATGCAATGTTAACTTTATGTCCTCTAGAAAGAAACAAGATGACAGATATAAGATTACTTGGCCAAATACAACATTTCCATATCTTCTTAATAGTTCATAATAATTAATCTTATTACTTTATCTGCAAAGTGAGCTACCCAATATCACTAAAATTTTAGGACTTTTGATCTCATTACTGTAATGCTTTTTTCAAATGTTCAGCCTTGATGATACCAATAATTTTTAAGTTGTTGTTATGCCATTTGAGAATACAGGGATTTTGTGACGGGAGTGAACATTTTTATTTTTTAAAATATATTTTTAGTTATTTCAGAGAGGAAGAGAGATAGAAACATCAATGATGAGAGAGAATCATTGATTAGCTGCCTTCTGCACACCCCACACTGGGGATCCAGTCTGCAACATCAGCATGTGTCCTGACTGGGAATCGAACCATGACCTCCTGGTTCATAGGTTGACACTCAACCACAGAGCAATGCCAGCCAGTTTGGAGTGACCATTATTAATTATTCTATCACTCAAAGTGGTTTTTCTGCCAGAGTAGGTGGGTGTTCAGAGAGTTGTGGCAGGAAGCCCAGAGTTCATGTCCTATTTTTCATTTGTACCTGGTGTGCAATATAAGCAGCACTAATGACTCCTGTTCTGTCCTTTAGGAGTGCTACATAAATGGAAATCTTAGATGAGGCAGAATTTAGGAGGGGTTGGAGAGTGGAATGTTTCTGTATGTTTGCTGTTCTTCTTTTGTATATTTGCTAGCTCCTTTTCTAAAATTAGATAAATGATTGAATTCACCTTGTAGGTCAGCTGCACTCACCAGGATAGCCTTCCAGTCCATAAGCTCGCCAATTGCTGACTGGCTGAAGTCCTGCTCTGTGTGCATCGTGGTCACTGACTGAGGACACACTCAGCTGAGATCTGACCACCTGGCAGGAAGGAAACAAATTAGAGGGCTAAAGTTATTTTACAGATCAAACCTGAGAACTTCAAAGCTCTAAAGATATTTCTGCTATGGGGCAAAGTTAGGAGTCTTAAGTCCGGGATCCTAAACTTAGTCCCATCACTTACTTGATATAAGACTTAGGTAAGTCACTTTAGAGCCTCAGTTTCCTCATCCATATACTAACAAACACTAGAGAGCTATACAGAATTAAGTAGTAATAAGAAGCAAGCTGATTTTTGCCTTAAAGATTACCTTTTCTTATGATACCATACCTTTGTGATTTCTTTTAGGCAGGGGTCCTCAAACTACGGCCCACGGGCCACATGCAAATACAAGTATTGTATTTGTTCCCGTTTTGTTTTTTTACTTCAAAATAAGATATGTGCAGTGTGCATAGGAAATTGTTCATAGTTTTTTTTTTAAACTATAGTCCGGCCCTCCAATAGTCTGAGGGACAGTGAACTGGCCCCCTGTTTAAAAAGTTTGAGGACCCCTGCTTTTAGGACTCTAGTGTTTGGTGTGCTGGAATACCGAGTCACAATGCTGTTTACTTCCGTTAGGGCTAATAATGCTTCTGAGGTATTTGTATACAGTTGGTGTTTATTTTTATTTTAATATAAATTGATTTCAGAGAGGAAGGGAAGAGAGATAGAGATATCAATGAGAGAGAATCATTGATTGGCTGCCTCCTGCACACCCCCTACTGGGGTTCGAGTCCACAACCCAGGCACATGCCCTTGACCGGAATCGAACTCGAGACCCTTCAGTCCTCAGGCTGACGCTCTGTCCACTGAGCCAAACCAGCTAGGGCTACAGTTGGTGTTTAAACAGAGCTATGAGGAACACCAGGCTGGGGAGAGTGAGAAAGGAAAGAGAGTACTCTAAGCATACAATCTGTCAATAAAACATTAGGAACCCTGTTTGTTAAAAGTACAATATGTATTCTCTTTTATTTGCTTATTTATTTAAATATATTTTTTATTGATTTCAGAGAGGGAGAGGGTGAAAGAGATAGAAACATCAATGATGAGAGAATCATTGATCAGCTGCCTGCTGCATGCCCCCTACCAGGGATTGCGGGAATATGCCCCCTGATCAGGAATCGAACCATGCCCTCCTGGTTCATAGATTTATGCTCAACCACTGAACCACACCGGCCTGGCTATTTGCATCTTTTAGATAAAACTTCAAATTGAAACTTGAAACCTTTTGTCTTTGTTAATTAATTAGGGATTAAGTTTTTCAGGGGCTCATGGGAGTTTTACTTGCATATAGAGCACCTTATAGATGGCTCATTAAATTGGTTAAGAGATCCAATGCAGTCACTAAAATAGAGACATTTAGAAAAAAACAACTTTAATCTTCCATGTATAAACTTAGGTCTAGCTTGCCTTAGAATACATCAAATGAACTCTTCCAAAAAGATGTTATCTATCATCCTATTAACTTCACCAAGTGTGGAGATTTCCAGACAAAATACCAACAAGTGGCTGATGTTTAACTAGTCTGCATAATAAAATGGCTATCTGGAACTCTCTGAGAGTCCTGACCAAGCTAACTTTTCCAGGTACCTAAAGGTTGATAAAATGTTTTTAAACATTTTGTGATTTCTTAAATAGACCATACTTAATAGTGTATTATAATTCAGCAACACCCTAAAGGACCTAAAATATCATATGCTAAACTGAACCAAACCCTGAGATTTTCTTTTTAAATGTTTTTATTGATTTCAGAGAGGAAGGGAGGAGAGAAACATCAATGATGAGAATCACTGATTGGCTGCCTTTTGCAGGCCCCCTACTGGGGATCTAGCTTGCAACCTGGGCATGTGCCCTTGACCGGAATTGGACCCTTCAGTCCATAGGCCAAAGGTCTATCCACTGAGCCAAACTGGCTAAGGCAATCCTGACCTTTTAAAAATTTTTTCTGTTGTCCCCTTGCCCCCATCCCTTGCCAAACTGTTGCCATTACTTCCTCCACTGCTCTCATTAGGTGTCTTTTAATAGTAACTTTCTTCTCTAAGTTGCTACCTTTTTTTTTTTTTTTACAAATACCGTATCATTTAATTTATATGTGGAATATAAAAATTAAATAAATGAACAAACAAAACAGAAACAAACTCAGGTACAGAGAACACACTGATGACTGTCAGATGGGAGGGGTGCTGAGGGACTGGGTGAAAAAGGGGAAAGGATTAATTGGCAGTTCCAAAATAGTCACAGGATGTAAAATACAGCTTCAGGAATATAGTCAATAATATTGTAATAACTATGCATGGTGTCAGGTTGGTACTAGAGTCTAGACTTACAAGGTGATTACTTCATACGTTATATAAATGTCTAACCACTATGCTGTACACCTGAAACCCATATCATATTAAATGCCATAAGTTGCTACTTTCAATCTGTTTTGAGCTGGGTAACTAAATACCAAAGTTTTTATTACTCCATAGTGTATTTATTGAGTACTTACTGGTACTGTTCTAGGTACGTGCTTCACACAATGTCTCCTTCTCAGGAGACTTAATTCTAAAAGTATGCATGATGGTCAAGTTATGGGCAAAAGTAGCCGAGTAAGGGTCTGAGGGACTCTCCCATGAATCAACTGTATCATTGCAGGCGTGCAGACTTTCTGCATGTTGTTCTGACAACTCTAAGACCATTTCTGCTAACAAGTGAAGCTGCTTAAGAAGCTGAGATCCGTACAAACATGGTGGTATGGTGGCATTCCAATCTTACTGAGAACTATTACTAAGCTTGGAAAGAATGCCTCATCCAGCCACCTGCGGACAACACCAAGGGCAAATTATGGGATCCGGCATCCTCAAGGGTTAAAGTAACTGCAAAGGAAATACACATTACACTGTAGCCGTGATTCTCCCCGTGCGCCCACAGGTAGAAATTACGGATGATGCTTAGACTCGTTATCCCTTTCAACTTGGAGAGATCACCTCTGAATAACCTCTGAACGCCTTCTTCCCAGGAGGCTCTGCCAAGACCGGTACCAGTTTTCAGGACAACAGCGATCCCTCTCAGCTCGGGGATTATTCGGGTGGTTGCTTTTTCAAAACTGCTGAGCGCTACCCGAACGTCTACGAACACGGTTTATGGTGTTTTTTTTTTTTTTACCCAAATCGAAGTAGAAATGCAAGTGGACAGCTAATGGAAGGTATAAACACCCATTCCCAGGCATTTTTTGACCGAGCGCACCGCCACGAATGGCCACGTGGAGAAACCAGCGGCAGAGCTCTTCATCGCCAAAGCGGGACGTTTCATGGGCAGTTCAACTCCGTGCCCGCGGAGGGCGGGGGTCGCTCAATCACCTCCAGTCTGGAAGCGAAAAGGGGTGACGAGGGCACTGAAACCCCCCCAGGAAGCGAGGCAAGCCGTCGGGGAGGCGCGCCCGCCCCTCTCGTACCTTGTGGGCCACGGGCCCCGAGCCGCGGGCCGCCTGGGCCGCCGAGAAGTCGATGACCCCGCCCAGGTCTGCGGTCCCGGGGCGGCTCTGCCGGTAGAAGCGGAAAAGCTTCCGAAAGGCGTCCTCCCCAGGCTCTGTCGCTAGCGTAGCCACGGAGCCCAGGGCCGCCGCCATCTTCCCCATCTCGCTGCCCGGCCCCCTCTGACCCGGAAGCAGATCCCCGCGCTCTGACGGCGGCAGGTTTTTCCGGGGTCGTGACCTCAGGTCGCCGAGCTCCCTCAAGCTGAAGATGGCGGCGTCGGCAGCGAGGGCCGCTATGGCCCTGAGGGCTAGTAGCAGTCGGCCCGTGGCCTTTGTCAGGAAAATCCCCTGGACCGCCTCTTCAAGTGAGTGATGGGGCCGTGGCGGGCGGACTTTCCGGGTGCAAGCGACCCCCCGGAGCTCTGCTTTCGGCGCAGCTCTGCGGCCGCTGGTGGCCGCCTGAGGAGGCTGGGTCCGCTTCTGCGCTCACCGAGGAGCAGAAGGACATGCTTGCGGG